CTGCTGTTTCCTCCACGCCGCCGGGAGCCATCGGAAAGGCGAGGCGAGCCCAGGGTCTGGCCGCCGATCGGGGATCGGGAGCTTTTTTATTTTTTTCCCCTCCTTCTTCCCTGCTCTCTTTCTTTGCCTCCGTCTTCTTGTTGCATGCAAGAAAATTACAGTCCGCTGCCTGCCCGCCCTGGTGCGAGATTTTCAGCAGCCTCGCTCTCCCTCCGCCCCTCCATCCACCCTGTGCATTGTGCAACCCAGAGATGAAAGACCGAAGGGGAGAAAGTTAAAGAAATCGCCCACATGCGCTGGATCAGCCCGCGGCTTGGGGAACGGCGACCAGAGAAGGTGCGAGCGCAGAGTTTGAAGTCTTTGCAGGCGGGAAGATGGCGGACTGGAGCTGAAAGTGTAGCCCGGGAAACTTGGGGGACCCTTGTGTTTATTTACAATCCTCTTGACCCAGGCAGGACACATGCAGGCCAAAAAACGCTATTTCATCCTGCTCTCTGCCGGCTCTTGTCTCGCCCTTTTGTTTTATTTCGGAGGCTTGCAGTTTAGGGCATCGCGGAGCCACAGCCGGAGAGACGAGCACAGCGGTCGCGATGGCTTGCACCAGCCCAGCCCGGATCGGTTTTGGCCCCGCTTCCCGGACGCGCTGCGCCCCTACTTTCCCTGGGAGCAGTCGGAGAACCAGGACTCCAGGGTGCACATGTCCCCCCGGCAGAAGCGAGACGCCAACTCCAGCATCTACAAAGGCAAGAAGTGCCGCATGGAATCCTGCTTCGATTTCACCCTTTGCAAGAAAAACGGCTTCAAAGTGTACGTCTACCCGCAGCAGAAAGGGGAGAAGATCGCCGAAAGTTACCAAAACATTCTAGTGGCCATCGAGGGCTCCAGGTACTACACCTCGGACCCCAGCCAGGCGTGCCTCTTTGTCCTGAGTCTGGATACTTTAGACAGAGACCAGCTGTCACCTCAGTATGTGCACAATTTGAGATCTAAAGTGCAGAGTCTCCATTTGTGGAACAATGGTAGGAATCATTTAATTTTTAATTTATATTCCGGCACTTGGCCTGACTACACTGAGGACGTGGGGTTTGACATCGGCCAGGCAATGCTGGCCAAAGCCAGCATCAGTACTGAAAACTTCCGACCCAACTTTGATGTTTCTATTCCCCTCTTTTCTAAGGATCATCCCAGGACAGGAGGGGAGAGGGGGTTTTTGAAGTTTAACACCATCCCTCCTCTCAGGAAGTACATGCTGGTATTCAAGGGGAAGCGGTACCTGACAGGGATAGGGTCAGACACCAGGAATGCCTTATATCACGTCCACAATGGGGAGGACGTCTTGCTCCTCACCACCTGCAAGCATGGCAAAGACTGGCAGAAGCACAAGGATTCTCGCTGTGACAGAGACAACACCGAGTTTGAGAAGTAAGTGTGGGCTGGGCGCCGAGGCAGCCCTGGGCCTTGCTGTGGGCTTGGATGTGGTGTGTGGGGACGGAGAAGCCCTCTTTCCTTTTCCTTCCTGTGCTGGGAGTGAACAGCCCCGTTCCTTATGTAGCTGGAAGCTGGGGACAGAGTTTGAGCTCCTCAGGCAAAGGAAACCCTGGAGCACTTCCCGGAGCCAAGTAGGTGACTGTGGCTCCCCCGTAGGAAAGCTTCGGGGAGGTGACTCCTTGGAGTTGGGGGACCGTGATTCAGTCTTGGACCCAGGAGGTGCTGGTTAGGGTATCTGGAGACCCAGAGTAGCTCTGACCTGTCTGCCCGCAGTCCCCCCACCCCTTCCCCCAGATGGAGGCTTTGTTTGTTTTTCTCCTAATCTTAGGTGCCTGTGCTCCCTGGAGTTTCCCAGCTTGTCGTTTTCATCTCTCCACCAGCCTTCAGTTCCTGCTAGCTGGGGAGTGTTTCCATGATACCTGGCGAACTTCTGTGCCTGTGTGGCTTCCACTTCTACGCAGCGAGTCTGTAAGCTTGTTAGGGTCTGTGTCCATCCATTCACGCAGGCATTTCTTCCTTCCTTCACTGACCCATTCATAGGGATGAGTCTGCTTCCTAGGAGAAACTTAAAAATCTGAGCCTCAGGCCCACTGCTGTAAACTCTGTTTGCAAATTTCGATTTCCCTTTTGCCTTGGTCTTTGACTATTTGCATGTAAATCCTGGACTGTTACTCTTTGAATGGGAGGTGAGATGCCTTCTTGGCCTCTGTAGTGAGGCAAGTTTTGTCCTGTTGCTAAGTAACTGAGTTGGTTACTTTGTAGCCCTTTTCTCTCTTTCTTTTCCTGCTGGCTGATTGTAACAGTCTGACTGGATTGGGGGTCCAAGCTAGAATGCAAACAGGCTTTCACCTGGGCCTGGCAGGTCAGTATCCTGATAGATGGGGTCAGAGCCCCAGACTTGTACTTTCTCTGGCTGTGAAAGAGTTAGTGAATTCCTACCTCGTTCCTCCAGTTAAAAACCAGAGCAGCCTTATGCTACCTAGGGAAGAAAGGGGAACCTCTCAGCTGAGTTCCAGAGGAACTGGCCGAGGTTGGTACATTTTGCCACTGATTCATGAAACGCAGAGTAGGGGAAATGCTTTGCAGACCTGATTGGACCAGGAAGGGGCGTGGTGGGAAGTGAGCCCTGAAATGAAAGGGTGGATTGTTGTTTGTGGGTTCCCTCAGACCCTAGGGCCTCTCTGTGGAAGTGATCCGGAGGGAGTTTAAAGTCCTCCTAGACTGGATCCCAGAGGGCGAAGGAGGAAGTGTCAGGGGCCCCGGCTGCTGCTTCTTCAGCTTCAGCCTCTTTTGCTTGTCGAGCATAAGAAGAGTCTGAGGCTTTTCTAAAATCTGCATCTGTATGTTACTCTTAGGGGCAACTACATGTGACTCTGGTGTGCAACGGGTCAAAATTTTCTCTCAAAAGAAACTTTTAACTCTGGTTAGCAACGGACTGTTTTGTTTATATGACATTTATATTGCTGTGGATGCTTGTAAGGAAAATATGCTTATAGCCTTTCAGGAATTTCTTTGTCTGGTGTATGGTGGAGTAAGTCGAGATGAAGCCCAATTCAGAGTCTTCTAAAGCATTCTCATCAAATTATATATAGTGTCCTTTATTCTTCTGAAAGAGCCGGAGCTGAGATTTCACCTTAGCAAACCTGATTTATAGATCTGGGAAACTCCCACCATCCAGTAAAACCATCATTATCTTCCCAGCCCTCTTTTTCCCAAAGTAAATATTAAATCTCCACATTTTCTGTTGAATGAAACTTCACATTTCTAGAGCTCATCAGTGAAGACAGGTGGGGTTGGTCTCCTTGTAAGTTTCATTTTTGTTAATTAACTCAACTAATTTTTGACTTCTTTGTGATTGGGCCAAGAAATCTGACCCTCGAGCCCTTGTTTTGATTTATGTATAAAGACCCCCCAGGGGCCAGAACCTGAGGGGTGGGTCTCCTCAGGGGAAAAAAGTGCTCTTGGGAAGGGAAGCAAGTTCATTCTTTCTCCTAAGCAGGGATTTCTCAAGCAGGATCACGGTCAGGATTTTCTCTCTCTGGCACAGCTGCCAGCCCTAAGCTTGCTTACTAGGGTGGATATGTGTTGCTTACTAGCCTGATAGAGTTAGGGTTTTCCCTCGTGACCCTGTTCCAGTCTCAGAATTTTTATCCTGGAGAAATGGTGTTTCAGACATGACTGCCTCATAGTTGTGGCTTTCAGACGCGCGGATGAAGCAGGGACTCTGCAGGGTGGAGGTCGCACGCTCACACAGCAGAGGCGTGCTGCGCTCTGGACGAAGCCACTCTGGTGGCATTGCACACTTGGGCTTTCTGGGAGTCACAGAACCCAAGACAGGGAGCCTGAGAAGTGGACCCGGGCGACACGGAACCGTGAACGCTGCTCCTTTTCAGGGCTTTGCTGAGGGGGGACACTGAAGTCAGGCCCCGAGCCTGGGTCCTTTGCTCTGACGAGTCGTCCTGTGACTTGGACTTGCCCTGTGAAATTGGGTTTATTCTTTTGTGGAATTAGTTTTAGGCTGCTTTGGGACGCTCCTCTGGTGATGTCTTGTATAGACACGATCAATTTTCATCAGCTCCTCCAATTAGCAAGTGCCTCTGAAAATCCCTATGAGGTTTATTTTATTTTTTTCATTTATAGAATCTGATGATTAGACCGACAGTTTATGGGGTGGTGGCCTTTTGGACCCTGCAGATATATACAAAGTCTCCAACTGGAAACTAGTTGCTTGTTAAGGAAAAAGAAAAAAAAAAAAAACTCAAACCAAATGCTTTTAATGAAATAAACTATTTTGTGAGATGCTGGAAGTTTAATGATCGGGGACTTGCATTTCCCTTGTAGTTTTGAGAAAATTGGACTCTGGTAACCAGGGTAGAGAAGAGCTAGAGAGAGCAAAGAACATACTTTTGATCCGACTTTTCGGTTTACATTAAAACTCATTTTTTGCGACACTCATCATTAATTCCATCAACTACATTTTTAACCATATGTAGATGGTGTCAACTACCAAAAGTTACTGCAGGACTTGATTCGTAATGAGGGCTCAGAGAAATCCTTTTTTTCCATCCTTGGAGCTTCTTATGTGCCCTTACAGAATTAACCGTGTTTTTACTTGAACTTTTTGGTTCAAATCTCTCCAAAGGCCACGGCTGTGGAATTTCACGTTTTGCTCTCAGAAAGACAAGAAAGAGAAGGAGATGGAGAGGTGGCGCCCTCCAAGCAAAGCAGTGGCGATTAGTTTATGCAGCCTGTTGGGAGCAGGCAGGCAGGGGTCTGCAGGCTGTGTCTGCCATCAGGCTGCGTCCCACAGTCCCCGTGTCTTCCGGCACCCTCTGGCCACCTGTGGAAGAGCTGAGGGTTGGACTGTTCTAGGTACCAGTAAGAAATCTGGGTAGGCATTGCAGCAGCCCTCCAGGGCAGGCCTCGTGGACTTTTCTACAGTTTGCAGCTTTCCATTTCTAATTACAGACCCCTGGAAGGCCCTTTGGCCACAAGGAGATGCTGAAGGCTAGGACTGCTTAGGAGTTTCTCTTGGAATCCTTTTTGGAAGTTGATGAAAGCTTGGACAAACTTTGGAGGGGAAAACCGCATCCCTAGAGGATTTGTCATCCAGTTTTAAGGGCTGACGCATGCTTGCCCTGCTAAAGGGCATCTTTAGGCTTACAGCTCTTGCTCTGGGGCTTACATTTTTCCTTTGTTGCTAACTGAGGTGGGTGGCTCCCTGGGGCTGCTAACCCTAAATAGGAGCGTTTGAACCTTTCAGTGTAGCCCTGAGGGGCTTAGGAAATGGGCTTCGAACCCACCAAAATGTAAGTTGAATTCCAAGGCTTTAGAGCAAAAAGAAAAATGCATAGGACAGGTAATATTATTCCACGAGCTCCCCTCTATTACCCTAAAATGTATTCACAGACACTTGGAACAAATTCACAGTCCAGCCGTGAACCTCAGGCAAATGTTCTCCTCTGAAGTAAAAGGTGAGACTTGTGACTCACAGTTTTCAAGTGTTAAGTATTAGTGCTTCTGTCCGCACAGCATGGAAAATAAAACTAGAACCAGCCTTCTGCACAACTAGGAGGCTGGCATCTGTCTCCTGACATTGTTCTCTGAGGTCCCCAGAGCCTCAGTCACAAGGAATTCCTGAAGGAGGGCCCTGGGGGGCCATGTCCTGTGTCTTTTGTCCTGTGTCCTGTCCAGGAATGTTTGGAGTTTGAATGGGTCCAGTGTGGTAGGGGAGGGATTTGTGTGGAATCTGTGACCTAAGCTGGGGCCTGCAGGATTTTATCCTAGGAATGACAGCTTGGGGCTGGGCCGGAGCAGACCTTCCCAGTAGGAGGACACTTTTGGTCCCCCTGACTGTGACAGCAGCTGCACGGCACAGAACTGGCTGAAGGGGAGCTGCCCGGCTCTCAGTGTTGTCACTGCTCTCTTGGTCAGAGCCTCCCCAGAACACAGTGCGAGAGACTCCCGCCAACAGGGCTTGTGGTCACACCAAAGGCCGCGCTGAACACAGCTGCTTTGCCCACAGTCACCCGGCACGGTGTGTGTCAGGCCACTTGGCAGAGTAAATTGGGGCCAGCAGTGGGGAAGAGGTTCACCTAGGGCCCCCCAGCTTGTAAGAGGCTGAACCGGGGTCTCTGGCTCCCGGTTCTGCTGCTTCATTCCTTCTGCTTCTCAGCGGTGCTTCCGGAATGGACCATCACGGACACTTGGCCGTGGGACTCCGAAGTGGTCAGGCATGAACGTGCTTCTGTGGCCACGAGCCGGATGACCCATGGCTTTTGTTTCCACCTTGTCGGAATTTGCGTCATAAACAGGATGCTTTCCAAACCGGAAGATGTGAGTGCTTACGATTTGGATTTACCTTTCAGCTGCAGTGCAGGGCGGATGCGTTTTCCTGGTTAGAATGTGTTTTCCCGAGGGCCAAGAGCTGCCGT